AAGAGGCTCAGAAGGCAGAGCTGCTCTGTTTAACAGGAGCAATTCCCTAAACTGAACCGTCACGTACACTTTGCCATTCATTCTCTTACTCCTACATGTACATTATGCATGTAACAGTATTTGAGAAATCCTAAATAAATGAGGAGATATTCTTTCAGGGCATAACTTGACCTGTTTTCTCCCCTTTATAAGCAATGATGCAAATGAAAACAGAATGAGGTTTATAACTCAGGCGCAATCTGTAGATTTAGTGGTAAAGTTTCGTACAAAACAGTCAAGTTTAAGAAGCTACTGAAAGGGAAACAAAGTGATAATATTTTTTTAACAGAACACAAGGAAGAACAATTCAAGCCAAAGTAATTAACTATGAATTCGCTATCAGCATTTGTTTTGGATATTTATTACAGAAATCATGCTATGTATACCACAGAGCAAGTTTCTGATCCAAGGAACATGCACCCTCAGTAGAACAGAAGAGGGACACCTGAGGAGAAAACTGGGACAAATATGCAGCGAAGCTGAGGTGAAGGGACAGATGGAAGAAATGGGCAAGAATACTTGTCCATAAGTAATAGCACAGTGGCTAGTTAGCATTGCTGGTCTTACTGAATATGCAGACATCACTGCTTTGGCTGCATTAACGATTTGCCAATTGGTGTCTAATGATGCCCTTCTTTTTCAGACTACCTTTCAAAAGCAAGCTAACAAGACTCAGAGAAGTCATCAACTGGGCTCCTACTACTACCACGGCAAAAGGGCAAAAGTGTTTTGCATCTCTGACATGTATCCTTATCTCTATAAAAGCAGACAAACAAGCCAACAAACCGTGAATTACACAGTTCAGGGCGAGCCTGCAGGACTTAGGAAAATCCTTGTACAAAACACACAAAATGAATTCAAGAAAGGTGCCCTCTCTTCATGTCCTACCTGCTGACTCCTTTACTGGGCATTTGCTCTTGCTTTAGCTATTTACTCACACAACCAAATCCATACATGAAAAATAGTAACCCACTGAACAAACAAACAAAAAAACCCACCCTAAAAATCAACAAAACAAAAAAACTAATAACCCAGAACCCCTTGCACAATAATATTTTGAGAAGAGCAATAAAATGCCAGATATCATACCTTTAGACCAACCTCAGAAGCAAAACTTCAAGGCACATCAATTCATGATGTTGACATTTTGAACACACAACTAAACGACTCAAGCAACATAGTCTTGTTCCAAAAGCCTTCCTTAAAAGTGAAACCAGTGGGTATTTTTAAACCATTCTTCCCAAAAAGTGCACAAATGCATGCACACTTAGATACATAAAAGACATCATCACCATCATACACTATCCCGCATTTCTTCTCTGTTCTTACCAATCCAATCCTTACACTTGCTTCACTATGTGCCGAAATGCAGACTACAAAGCACCAACATTTCTGCTGACTTGTATCACATCCAATCCCACTAAAGCTTTAAATACATATTTTAAAAACCTAGCTATGCAGCAGTTGAGATTTGAAAGCCATGCAACTTTAGTTTAGCCTCTACACATACCTATGTCTGATAATACTCCTGCTGCTGCTTTATTCCATTTTCCCCAGCAGGTTACTTTCAGCAAATGGACAATTGCTTAATTTTTGCCCGCATCCTATAACCCATTAAATACTTACCATCTGCATCCTACACTGAATACAAATCCTTACATTTGCCCATAGACATGTTTATGCAGATCTGTCCATAATGTGGGAAGACTACATGAAATAAATGTGAACTTTGCTATAAATGTGTGAGATCACTATTCCTATTCCTGTACTAGGTGACTGGCACACAATGATGAAAGCCCAAAGGGTAAAATAAATGCCCACTAACTTCAGTTGCCCGATTTCAGAGACTCTCAGTCTCAGTTACCACTTGTAACAGAAATTTAACTAGAGCTGTGCTTTGAAAACACAACTTCAGCTGCTATGTTGAATATCCAGCATGCCTGTACATCAGACCAAAACAATCTCAAAATGCAAGCAAAATTGAAAATCAGCACTACATATTTTCTTTATATTGTTTCTCCAGGTCACTAAAACGCTGTGGTTTACTAGTGAATTGTATTCCAAACAAAGACAGGAGCTTGAAGAGGAGTTTATGACCACTATTGGCTGTGTTACTGTCACAAAGACAATGTTCATTTGATGCTTCTGGCTTTCTAGTATCTGCTATCACAGGCTATATATTCACTTGGTAAACATTTTGAATATCCGAATTCTTACGTTTTACATGAAATTGAAAACACAGCATTTCTACCACAAATTCAAAGCTTAACCATTTACGATTACCCATGGCTGCTTCAGTCCAAAACACAGATTTCTACTACTTCAGCTATCAGAAATATGTACTTATTTCCACACAAAAATAAGATTAATCCCTTGTCACTACAGGGGATAGAAAGAGAAACAGATTCTCTGGGCTCCCACATTCTATCCCATTCACTTCCAATTCCAGCAGCAAAACAATGTGTGTATCTACACAGCAGCTTAGTTCAGCTCAGGTGAGGGCTTCTCAAGCAAGTCTACCAGTCATCCTTGTTTCAGATGCTTTGATGGGCATTGTACAGTGGTGTCCAAATACACAACCCTGATTTATTTTAAGCTACCCGATTTCTTTAAAGCTAAACCGAACTAGATGATTTGTTCCAAAGGTAAGTGGACATTTAGTCCACTTAGACCTAGGTAAAAGCAGTTTTGCCCAAATTTATTATAGCATTCATGTTGGATCCTCAATGCCAACCACTTCATTCCACAGAAACACCATTCCTGTACTGCACTACTTGCTGAAGTAAATGAAATCAAATTTAACATCCAGCCTTTTCCTAATTACATCTCCCATCTTTACTCACATTGACGAGTGTGGAGCTGACATACAGCTCCACTGCATCCATACACTGAGACACATGAACTACTGAAGATACACAATGTGACTCGAAATGGAGCACAGAAATTATCAGTCTTCCTAGAAGACAAACATAACAGCCATTTACATAGTAGCGAGCTGGAACAGGGACAGAACTGGACACAGACCTCTTGAAAGCTTCCACAAAAACCAGGTGCTTAACCAAGCAGTTCTTTTGCTGGCAAGTGTCACAAACAGTAAACCCAACATTTGGGAGTGGTATATTGCGTAACTTTTGAAAACTTATGTCAAACTGTTGTAACATTGTGAGTATGGGCAAAAAAAACAACTTTTAAATAGTCATGACTTGGTTAGACTTGAGCAAAACACCTACAAAGAACAAAGACAACGCATCATGATTCATTCCTCAAATCAAATTCTAATTTGCCTCCCTGAAGTCATAAAAACTGATCCAACAAGCAGCTCCAGTTTTGTAGAAGAAATAAAAAGCCCTGATCCACTTAAAGCTGAGACTTCCTAGGGGAAAAAAAGTCTGGATGCAGACACATGGAACAGCAAGTTCCACCCTGAATAGTTATAATTTACCAATTGTGTAAGAAAACAAACAGACTTTTTTACTTCCTATGGCACAGGTCTCACCAACAGCTCAGCTTGTAATGACAGCAGTGCATAATACCTGAAAGTCCCATATGAAGAACAATGTGTCAGGGGAAGTTACGTGCACATTATAATAAAAAAACTTACAAAGATAATGCAAATTATCAGCACTGTTTATACAGCTATGATTAATGTAGGTGTGTGTTAAATACCACTTAGACATAAAAAGCTATTACAAATCCTTCTGTATTTATCCTAGCAATTTAAAAATTACATCTTTTATTTTGGTGCAAGACCAGTCCTACAGCCAGAGCAGTTCAGAGGCACACGTTGTGCCAAATGAAACAGTAAAACATGAGCACATATTCACAGTTTCAATGTTTGGAGTAGCTACATAAAATGAAAACCCATTAAATCATTAACCGCATTAAGTCACCTACCTAACAAATTTTCAATTTTCATTATGTGCAGAGGTCAATAGAAAGGTTATGATAAAACTTCTAAAGGCATTTATTCTAGTCTTTTAAAAATTCAACTGTAATTTACGCCATGCATTTGTAAAAACAAAGTTATTTCTTAGGGAAAAAAGTGTTTGAGGGATCAATCCTTTACATAAAGCAAAAGGTCACTATTGACTGCTATGAAAATTTTCATCATCAAGAGGAAGTTTTGATAAAACATATTATTTGAACTGCTAGAAACCCCCAATCTTCCAACTAAGCAGCATCATTAATAAACTATAAATGAAATTTGTTAAGCCTGTGCTAAAAATAAATTTAGAAGAAAATACTTTTCTCTGAAACTAATTCTTAATATATGCAATTTTTATCCACTAATACAGACTTTAGGCTAAGCTTTCTCTTCATATAAGCTATATTTTAATATCAAAAGCCAATAGCTGCAACCAAGCCCTCCAGAATCGTGCTACTTCACAGCACAGAAGGCATTTGTCTCACTCAGAAAATCAGCCAAAGCAGCAAGGGAATTTTACTGATACAGAGAATTCCTAACTGGATACCACAAACTAATAATACAAGCCCACGTGATCTACAATGCACTGAGAAATAACAACATGATTGTATGAAGTTTTGCTTCCTAGCTCTAGCAAGGCACTGAGAGGCACTTAGAAGAACAACATGGACTGCAAAGTGCCTCTCAAGCAAAACAGGAGTCTAGCCAGCAGAGGACCACGTAAGATTCAAGAGTATTACATTTTACACTCTATTCTGCCAATGACCCATGCAAACTCTTGGGAAGTCACCTTCTCTTTTCCTCCTTTATTTTCTCACTTTTAACATATCTGTTCCAACCAGATAGAAAAGGGTATTCAAACCTGAAAACCTGCAAATAAATGCCTGTGGTCTCAATAACAAACTCTGGATGAATAAAAGCTGATAAGGGTTTTTGTGCGGTTTTGTGGGGGGTTTTTGTGAGGGTGTTTTTTTTTCTGCTTTGTAAGTCGTTTTTTTAAGTTGTTCTTTCTTTAGGGAAAAAAAAAAAAAAAAAGGCAGTTTAGTTCTTATTGCTGATGAAATAGGCTTTGGAAAAAGATTACCCACATAGAAGCAGAAGCACTGAAGCCTACCTGATCATGCACAGAGCCTAAATCTATGATTTTAAGATGCAAGATACCTCATAAGCAACAGTGGAGAACCTGATGACTCTGCAGCCAAATTTCTTCCCCACCCCCCCCACCCCCCCCTATTTTGCCACACTGTGGTATGTTTTTTCCACAGAATTCAGTTTTCCTGAGCAGCAAGATGCCATCATTACTTGTCTGCCTGTCTATAGCCATTTTTGATGCCCTGCTCCACCACAGTAAAATTCATGGTACATGCTTCCTGTTCTGGCAGGGCTATTAGGCGAGGTACATGGAGCAGCATTCCTATTCTCCCAGCTTTGCCCTTCTTCTCAACAACTATAGCTTTTAGAGAGAAAAGACTTTAAAAAAAACAACACCATATTTTAGACTATGAACTACAAAAACACTCTGAAAAGAATTCTTGCAAGAGGTAGGAGATCAAGACAGAACAACCACCATTTTCTTCAATAAGAAGCTCTGATCTTCAAGCTGAGGCTTTGATTTTTTCCCTAAATCTATAGGGCTATTTCAGCAGTAACATTTTAAACACAAACTTCTCCGAGCATCATATTTGTTGACACATGCTTTTCAAAAATTGTCAAACTTTACCACAATTAATGAAGCCTCGGTTGTGCCTTGTTTGTATTTTGTTCTTGCTTGTTCTTGCTGCCAGTTAGGTCAAAACCATTTCCCTTTTCCACCAAAACAGTCAGTTGAGGAATTAAAAACATCTACAAATGTTCAGAAAAAACTGCTTATAACACAGGAAAGCTGACGTTTCTCCACAGAAACCAGATAGCAGTACAGATGGATCTTCCCCTGTCCAATTTCTAACCTTCTTCCAGTATAAAAGAAAAGGAACAAACAGCTTGCACAATTATTCAGTAATTGCCTGCTGCCAAGCCACTAAGAACTGAGAAGCGATAATAACTATTATTTGAAACTAACAATCGATTTTCCAACTATTTCCTGAAAATTCCTGCACTGATTCTAAAAAGAATTTTTAAAAAGGAACAATTTCCACACTAAAGCTGAAAAAGAGCAATTCCACGGCAAGAATCAAAATCAAGTGTGGTAATTTTCTTCCATTTATGGAAAATTATCAGAAAGTGGAGTCCAAAGACACCAGCACAGCTATCTGATAGAAGTTAAAGGACACTCAAGAGACGAACTGAAAGAAGATTTCTTCTCTAACTGATAGGAAGAAACAGGCATTCCCTTTTCACCTCAAAGATCATAAATCTGGAAATGCTTTCAAATGCATTCTTGGCTCAAATAAGAACAAGCACTTTCCAGAACAAAAATTTAATTAATTAACATTCCCACCCTGAAGTCTCAACCTCACTTCATGAGTGAAATACTACCAAAGGGAGGATAAGCAGCAATAGTTACTTTGGGGCACTTATCAGTATGGGAGATAGATGTTTACATTAAGGCAGCATATTCTGTAGCAAAAACTGTGCCACTTCATGTTTACACAATACCCAATGTGAAGTGTTTTCAGGTTAGACTTCCAAGCACAGCCTCTCTAATAGCAGCCACTTCCTTAAAGTTTGTACTCGAACCATTTGTGTTAGTCAACTTCAACAACACTGGCAAAAAGCTTTTCAAAATTTACTGGCAGCTATAAGAACTTATTAATCAGATTCAAAACGCTTTCTTTACAAGCTAATTTCAGTCAAAACCAGCAAAGACAGTGATGACATATGTTAATAATAGTATTTTTAGAACCAATATTAACTTCTGATTTCTAGCTTGTAATTCTTTAGTATGCTGGAGTGAGGAAAGAACATAATGAATAACATGATGTAGGGACTAGTAATCCAGTTTGTGCAATAAATGAGCATCAAATCCAATAAGCTTTTTCAAACAGGGCTTACTAAACCATTACTCAGAATTACTCTAAGAAAACCTATGACTAAAGATGTAAAAGGAAACATTGATACATAGATTATATAATGAAAACAATCACAACTAATTCATTAAGGATAGGAACATGTCAGCTGAAGGGTGTTGGCTCTCATCAGCTCTGAAGGATTCAGTATTATGGACACTCAGCTGTCAGACGTAATAGCTATTTGTTCACTGGAATAGCCAAAATCCAGGAATTAAGTTTAGTTCAAAGGTGAAATCAGACTAAGAACACTGGCCTGGGCTTTCTGATTGTGTTCCATTTTGTTTTATTCTCTCCTCAAAAAACCAATAAAAACACTTGCTTCTGTTGAGCAAAAACTGGTTTGGCCAGTTAAGGGGTTTCAGAACTCAAACTACCAGGGAAAAAGGGTTTACAACATCAAAACACAACAGCCTGGCATTATGTTGTCAAAACACAGTTCCAAACAAAGACCAACTCAGCTACTTAATTTTCCTGAAGTGTGGTTTTTTTATGACACACTCCGGGTGCACATGCACATAGTGACTAACCTCAACATTTCTATTCGTTGTCACATGAGGATCAGCAATAGACATAACATTCAAATGTTTATTGGAATGACAAGTTATTATTTTAATGCTCAGAGAACCTCTACAGAACCTGAAATTTCGCAAAAACTTTAAAAGCTACCAATTTTTCTAACAATTTAAAAATAAAACAACTAATATCTATGGAGGTATCCTTCTCAAATGAAACCAGAAACTGAAATACATCTTAAAATTAGCAAAAAAACCCAAAACCACCAAGAAAGTAACACTATCTTGTCCATATAGTCTGCAGAAATCTAGTAACTGCAGTAGTCAAATTAATTAGCAAGTGAAACAAACATTTGCCATCTTTAAAACAGCCAGCTTCTCAGTGCTCCCCATCAAAAAAAACAAACACAGAAGGGAATTCACCACACTCTCCCTTGAATGAACTATTGTTCAACTCTGACAGTCTCTACTCCTTCCTATCTATTATCATTCTACTCCTCCCAATTCAGGA